GCCCCGCCCCGCCCCGCCCCGCCCGAGGCGGCGCTGAGAGAGCTGGAGCCTTCGCGGTTGTTCCCTCCCGGGTCAGGCTGCTTCAGTGCCCCGCTTCCCAGGTGGGTTTTAGTGGATTTTTAACCATGAAAAATAATAAAAGGAAGAGGGCGCTAAAAGGATGCTGACTAAGACTTGTAATCTAGCTCAGGGCTTGATCTAAAATTAAAAGTTACAAAGTACTCAACCCACCTCGGAAACCATAAAAAGATGATTAACAAGTACAGGTACTTGTTAACATTGTGGGACAAAATTGTGCAAGGTCTGCGTCTGCCTTCAGGACCTCCGGTGGAGCAGCCTGAATGCAAGAGCCTTTCCAAAACACACACTGCACCGTATACAAGTATACTGTCAGGCAGGATGCTTTCAGGCAAATGTTTCTGGCAAACTCCACACATTCATTGTGCAGGCTGCATGGGATGTGCAGGATGTGCATTTTTGCCTCAGTTACAGAAATGCACATATTTACATCTGAGCAGTCTTTTTGAGTTTAAAATAAGTAAATTCTGAGATAAATAAACCATAAACATAGGCTCTAAAGAATTTCCAAAAATAAAATGAGACTAATAAAAATACACATGAAGCAGAACATTTTCTAAAAGATGACATTCTTAAAAATATATATATATATATAAAATCCATTTGTCGTGATGCCAGCTCCACAGCCAAACTAAGAGCAAATGTGAAGTGACACTGTCAGAGTGTAATGATCCTGAAAATGCAGAAAGTGAGACATGTTCTCTAACGTCTATCATCATGTTGTAATCTTGCTTTGTCTTTGATTTTATCAGATTTTCTCAAAGGGGACAAAACTTCAATATAAAATGTAAACTACATGCTTCAATATAAAATATAAATTGGGGTGTACATGTACTTTACCTTGCAAAAGTAAACACTGTCGCTCTCGCAGTATTCCACAGCACAAAGTGTGTGCATTTCCCCTTGGTCAAGGAAGCATTGCCACCTAACAAGTACCCTTCTAAAGGATTTTCATCATTACAAAGGATGAACTATACAATATGAAACAGAATAGTAAACGACAAGCAGATAGCTTAGAAGCTTATTTTATTATACTTTGGTAAGTGTGGTTTCCTGTGGATCAAGACAGTTAAACTAGTAGTTTTAACTCTCCCCTGCTCCCCAGTATAGTCTGGTATCACCCTGCCATGTACTACTGAGCACACTTTGGATTGAAAATAGAGACATATCATTATAAAGAGAGATTTTCTTAATGGTAAATTTGCTTGGTTTTAATAATCTTTTTTGATGATTGAACATTTTAAGCTTAAAAAACCCCAAATGATCTAATAACTTTGCAAAAAATGGAATTCCTAGGTTGATGAAATGCTGATTATAATTTAACAGCAGCCATTCAGAAGACATGCTGTAGTAGATTTTTTTCACAAGTTACAAAATATATACACAATATATCATCTTAAGATGCCTTTGACATGTTAACTGAAATACAGAATCTAAAACTCAAAACTACTGTAGGTATCTCTTCTACAACAATTTTTACAATGGCTGTAAAGCTAACTGTTCTGACTATATGCATCATATACAATGTGCTGTCTCATACCATTTCCAAAACAGTACACAAAAATATTTTAAACAAGAAATCCACATAAATAATGTTTTCATTGTAGTGAAGTATGTGACCAATGATTTAAAATAAGTACCTTTACAACAGAAACATATCCTGATGTAACCAGCACATACAGTCTGAAAGATAAAATGGGACTCAAATAATCTCTGCTAAGGCCACAAGCACCTTCTGTTATGAAGAGCACCAAGGCAACATGGACAGGAAACACAAAAGAGGTAGTGTGTCATCTGTTAAGATGTATGTGTCCACAAAGGACTACAATAAAACAGTATTTAAGAAAAGACAACGTATTGTACTGTGGCATAATTCATTTTTCATATATAAGCTATTGCACATTTAGGAGCATTAGCCAGTATTGCTCCTTAGTATTGTATGTCTCCAGCTTTCCTTGGGATGGTGTTTTTGCAGTGCTCTTAAAGAGATTGCTAAGAACACTAGAGGACCTGAAAAATTCCATGTTCAAATACTCAGTTCCACGAAATTATGCAAGAAAGTACCAACAATTTTTTTTTTTTAAATACTTTATGTTCTTTCTTTCTTTCTTTCTTTCTTTCTTTCTTTCTTTCTTTCTTTCTTTCTTTCTTTCTTTCTTTCTTTCTTTCTTTCTTTCTTTCTTTCTTTTTCTTTCTTTCTTTCTTTTTCTTTCTTCCTTTCTTCCTTTCTTCCTTTCTTTCTTCCTTTCTTCCTTTCTTCCTTTCTTCCTTCCTTCCTTTCTTCCTTCCTTTCGTCCTTTCTTTCTTCCTTTCTTTCTTCCTTTCTATCTTTTTCAATGCCATTTGTCCTTAGGAGGAAGTCTTTTTCTTCCTGAGGTTCTTTAACCAACACTGTTTAAAATGATTCTTCAGTTTTCTAGTAATTTTGCCTGTAACAGATCATTAGTTTTGCATTCAATCTATGCAGCAATTCCATGTTGATGCAAAAAAACCCAGGACAGAAACCTTAAAGGAAGCACACTGAACCACTTTCTATGAAGTGTTGCTGTCCCGGTTTGAGATGAGGAAGTGTGTTAACTTGAACAACTGGAAGCTGATAAGTGTCCTGAGTGTGAAAAAAGAACTGTGTCTTCCGCCAGCTGCCATCTTCAATCTGCAACACACAGAAGCAGAGTATTAAATTCATATCAAAGATGAGCTTCAAAACACAAATGGAAATTGTGCTTATAGAGTAAGAGAAGTGTACAGAAGCATTTTGTCTCCCAGCACTTCCTAAAGAAATGGTATAATTTAACAAATGCCATTTCTCTCATGCAATACCATGGGCACTCCTGGCAAAACTGTAACTGTAAAAAATCCCAGCCTGGAGTCCTGCTGGAGCAGATGCAGACACAGTGGAACATGGCTCAGAGCAGAGCATCTGTCAATTTGCAAGCAGTCTCGGGCTCACACAGACTCCAAGATCTCTTGCTAAATTCACCTGCTGAACAATAGGTCTCAGGTTATGAACTTTACAGGCACTTGAATGACTTTATAGGCCCTTGAAGAGTAATCATGGTGAATGAGAGCTGCATTTTTGCCATGAACTTTGTATTATTTATTCTAAATTTAAAAATTTCAGTAAAAAATTGATACCTCATAAAAATTATAAAATAACATGATAACATTGTCTGAGGCTGGGAGTGTCTTCATGTTTGCAATCACTCCATTCTTAAAAACTATCAAATACCGTGACACCACCGAAAAGTGAAATCCCTGCAGAGGAAAATGTGTGAGATTCAACAACAGATCTGTACAATACATAGTTTCCCACAGAAAGAGTGACAGACCTTGTAGAATCTCACAGAAAACTGGCGGTTCTCAACAGTCATCACTGCATACCTTAATTTTTCTCAGGATTAAAACAGTCCTAAACAGACTGCGAGGTGGGGAGAAGGGACTTCAATGGCTGTACCTTATCTGCATGACACAGGCTAGAGCATCCCATTAGTGTGTGCTAATAAACGTTGGAAGCATAACAGCTTCAAAGTGCCTCAGTAAAACCTTTCTGTTTTAAGAATAAAAATCTCACTTGGCACCCTGGTCTCGATATGGGACTAGTATCATATCTTTCATTATTGTAAATGAAAGCAGAGCTATAAAATACTGAAAGGGTACAGTGCTTGGTTGCTATATTTCATAGTGTTCTACCAAGACACTTACCAAATGACTCACATCTTTGTGAGTGTAGTAATTTAGTAAGCATAAGAAAATTAATAAGCTCTTCCAATTTTTCATAAATACAAATACAATTT